CCCGCCGGGGCAGACGGGGCAGAGAGCGCTGGTTTGATTAGTCAGGCTCCCAGGCCCTTTGAGCGCGCCGTGTTGCCGTTGGCTTTTACTGCTAACGCTTTGCTGAACGACGTGCGCCTGATCTGTGTTGTTGTGCCCGGCCTGCTGGGGCTGCTGCGGGGCGAACAGAGTGAAGTGCGCGAATGTTCACGGCTGTTTCTAATGACAGGCAGAACGGTCGATCCCTCGGCAGGGCTGCTGCCGCTGCCCTTGCTTTTGTTCAACTGGTTCTGCGTGGAGGAGGCCCTAAGGTGCAAAACTCGCAGCGTCCCATGAAGTTGGAGTGGCGATTCCGAGACGGCGGCGCCGCCATGCGCTCTGTCGGCTCGAGCGTTTCAACTCGGGTTTTTGCTACAGCAGGGCCAGCGGGGACGCGGCCAGGGCCACGCTCTCGGTGTAGACGACGGCGTCGTGCACGGTGGGGAAGGTCAGCATGGCGACGGCGTCAAGGACGCCGCAACAGCGCCGCAGGGCACTGACGACGCGCGCGTTGGCGCCGGCCAGGACGACGGTGACGCCGCGCACGACGAGGTCGCGCTGCAGGCCGCGCAGGGCGCCCACCCCGGCCGGGTCGACGCGCACCACGGCGCCCAGGTCCAGGATGAGGGTGTGCGTGGTGACGTCGGAGGCCGGCAACAGGCGCCTCACCGCCGTTTTGAGGTGGCCTTGGGACGCAAAGTTGAGAACACCGTTAAATTGAAGGATCTGGGAGAAAAGAAGTTAAATTTGTTTTAGTGTCAGAAAAAACGATAGAGAGCGGAGAGCAAGAATTAACTAACTGGAAAAACTTTTGTTGTCATATCATTGACTTGATTTGAAGAGTACTTGATATCGTTCTCAATCTGCAAGTGTATTGGTTGACTCCTTGATATGACAATGAAGTGTAACCAGGGTCCTCGCCCGGGTTGCACGCTGCCGCTCTGCCGTACTCGCGGAAAAAGGAACACCAGTGGTTCTTTCATAATTTATGTCTCCCTGGAAAGAGCTCTTTAGTTTTTGTTTTGTTTTGGTAGAGCGGGAATGTCGGTACAATGCACATTGAGTGATGCGACGGAGGAAAGAGAAGGGGGGCAGGGGAGGAGG